TCCTACTTGCACACATTACATCTGTGTATATATTTGTTATTATTCAGTTACGATAAATCTTTGTGGTTAGTAAATCTTATTGATCACAATACTCTTTAAGTGCACGTGGCCACATTCCTCAGAAAGCGGTCAATTAAAACAGTCGGTTATTTCACACGTATTTTTACCTACTTATTATTGACGGGCGGGTGTGGGTAGATAAATGAGAAAAATAACTGTTAAGTTTATTAAAAGAAATCATATTTTACAAAACATAATTACTAAGACGTAATTTAATAATTAAAAAAAAAGCTACCGCATTTTCAAGCTGATTAAGATACAACGTAGCAACGTACTGTGTGCATGGGCTTGAAAACATTGACCGCGGAATCAAATGTTTTTCTTATCTGGACATTTTGCACCTAGAAACCCCAACCACACACACACCACAAATGTTTATTATGTGAAGGGCATCTTGTTCTGAAAACCCCCATCTACCCTATCCATAATCCCCCTGCCCCCCTATTTCAGTGTTTATTTGAAATCTGAAGAGTTATCTGCGTATGCATACGCCCAAAATTATAATTCTTCATAGCCCGAAATAGGAATAAAGTCTTCGGATTCATTCAATTTTCAGAGAGGATCAAACACAAATGAAGAAATATTTTCAAGATTAGCATTTTTTAGTAATATAAGATACACATATGTTAGGTATTCAAAATTGTGTCGGTGTTTCTTCTAGCAATTTGTAAAGTTTATAATTTCCCTCGGTTTTTTTAAATGTTAATCTAAAAATAAAGTTTATTTATTTGGCTTGCCACAATAACTTGGCCCACCAACTTGGAATGGAATTGCAAATCTTTCAATTAACATTCTGTTAGATTAGATGGAGAACTTCTGTCGTTTGTGTTTATTTTTTATAACAGATTTTTCGTAGATAGATATAAGGTTAGAAAATAACAGTGCAAACTAGAGAAAAGTTGGTTAATCCTATAACGCTCATAAAATTTATTTTTGTCATTTTTCTAACATTATATAAAATACCTCAAATATGATCAAGTATGTTGATAATAATACACGTTGTTGGATTTAAAAGATTATGATTTTTGCTTTTGCATAGTCTCGATTGTGTCAGCAGCCCATAACCACGCTATTATCTTCTTCCGGTGCATGTTTTAATGTCATAATATGCCATTTCTTCTACTGTATCCTGTATTTAGTTTAATTGAAATTAACCCAAGACGCAATAAAAAAGTACACATCATTGAATGATATATACCCAAAACGAGGCGAATTCATATCATTATTTCATGTATGGATGATATTGTGAATGATGAAAAGATCCCAATATAAAAACTGTATTTAAAGATTTGAGATGTGATTCACCTGTTTCGAAACTTTACCAAATGAAATTAAAGATCGCACACAGCTGCAGAATACAGCATCTCTCCCTGCATATATCACTTCGTCATGAAGTGTGAAAGCCTATTTACATGTCATATTCAATTTTTCCAACGTGCTGTACATACATATTTTGCACGTTTGTCAACAATCAAATTGTAAGAAATCAGAAAAGCGTGTATTACGGATTCAAAGGTTGAGGATGAAAACTTAACAAGGAATAAAATATTCCCTCCCTCAATTATTACTTAAAAGAAATGCTAAGAAAAGTTTATATTGACTCAGCTGTAGCAGGTTTCACAGTGAAATAAACCAGTACAGCAGAACTCTACAGAGATACAATTCCTTCGTCAATTCCGGATTTCAATCTCAAAGGCGGTTTGGATCGATGACGACAGCGTAATGTTTATATCCAAACGTCGGATAATTAACTTCTTGAAAGCGACTACAGTCAAACCTTCCATCGCACGCTTTTTTTTTAATTGCAGTAGAACTGGACGTCCAATTTGAATTATGGAAATTGAGCTGTATTCGTTGGTAAAAGATAATACGACTTATTACTTTTAATCACCAAGTAGATTGATTTGATAAATCAGGGCTAGAACTAGAACCCTATAAATTTTTAACGATTTATTCATCAAGGGGAAGTAACATAAATATTTCACATTCAAAACTAGGTCAATGTTCTTGGCAATTTCAGAGACAAATGGAAATTGATTGGAAAATATTGTATATTCATTGAGCAAATCTGAAATGGTGAACTTAATGAAATAATTGTCAATATTATCGCGATGTCGGCTAAAGAACAATTCAGACTAACCACTTCAAACAGATATAAGCATGTTTGTTTCTTCCTTGATAGGAAAGCGTAACGAGGCATATTGAGGCATGTAAACGCCATAGGCTGGTATTTGTGGAATATTACTGCTAATAAAAGGAAGTTGCCAAATATGGTATTAATCTCTTTTATAGTTGAGTTTTAATGATACTGAGAATGATACCGAGATAAAATGGCTGTGATTTTCATAGAAGTTGAATCAAATTATTTTTATTTTTGTTGAAATTAAAGAATTTTTAAATTTTAATTCAATCCAAAAGAGAACATTTCGTCCGCAGTTAAGAATGTTACGGAAATAAAACATAAAAAGTGACAAGAGGGAAGACATCTTTAAACATTTTTAGATGAAAAATTGTTAAAATATATTATGCTATAAATTAGATAGTTATATAGACCACGTGAGGAACTCCACCTAGAATCTCTGAGTGTTGTTCGGTACAAGTATTTTACCTGGATAATATAGTACACAAATGATAAAATAATTATTGCATTCCACTTGTTTTCTACTACTTCTATTATTTCCTGATGTGCCTAATTTCTTCCATGTAACTTTCGAATTCTTGAGATGAACATAACATGGCCTCATCAATTGTTATATATTTTATACCTTTCTCAATTTAGTTGAGTTAAGCGAGTACAGTATGCCAATTGGCATTATTATTCTATACTTCTGTGAATATTTCAGTCGCTGTATTCAAAAATGCTTTTTGTTTCGTACCACTCTCGGAATCCAAGAGATAGTGGAAGCTGTGAACTCGTACAAGAACACTCGGAGAAAGTTGGGCTAAGAAAACGTATGTGTAACGTGAAAGAAATAAAACGAATGTTTAATGGTGTATTTTTGTAACTGTTAAAGAGCTATTGTTGATTGAACTAAATGACACGACGGTTCAGATATCTCCACATGAAAATAATGTTTAACATTCAGCCATTCAATGAGGTTTTTTAAGTTAGTTCTAGAGAGAAACTTCGGTGTGTATAAACAAAATAAATTGTAATTTTATAGATTTCAAAAACTGAACAGGACGAGTATATCTTCTGTGTAAAGTTTCAGGAGAACGGGTAGTTAACAGTGTATTAATTGAAGGACTTCCTATTCGTTTTAATTTCTTAATGCGATATAAAAGTGGGTGGGACTAAAATATGAAATACCTGCCTACTACAAGTATATCAAGCTGATTGTCGTAATTGTCATGATAATACCACGTGACTTGACGCACCGATTGACCCCACACTAGCTGGCCCAGGAGCAGTTCTGTCATATATAGTATGTGACATTGAGGCTATACTATTGACGAAACATAAACGGTCGTGAAAGCGTGAAGCCGTCAAAACGAATCTGGTCATCGAAACAAGAGGTCGTAGAACAGTGCAGGCTACAAACAGGAATAATTTACGGACAGTTTTTACAGTGTAACAATAACAGTTGTATAGACAGGAGGTGTGGATTATTTTTAAATTTTCATTTTTTTATCATTTAGATAGTGCACTTAAACGTCTGTATATATCATGTTTAGAAATTACATTTCATTTAACAACTTGCATTTTCGTAGTTGCGCTATTGAAGTTATAAGAATGCTATTATTGTACTTACGCCATGAAATAACAGCCGTGATTCTCGAACATGTTTACAAAATCTATAAATGTGCACCAAAAAGTAACGGTTATACAAAAATCAATGATATTTTAAACCTTAAGTAATTAACCGAGATATTTTATAGAAGAGTTCGTGCGTTGCCACTTCACGAATTGAATTGAAAGCTTTTGTTGTGTAACAGTTAAAAGTTTCAAATAGCAGACTTCTTCATGAAGATATCGCACTTTGACGAACACAAGTAAATAAATGTACTGAAAAAATACGCGTTCTACCGTAACGCGAGGAAAAGTTTTATGAACGTTAGTGCATAGGGTCTACTCAAGGAAAATACAAGCCACTTTTACTATAGACCAGCATTTTATTTCAAACATTGCACTTTTTACACATGAAATATTTCATATTGACGCGGTTATTTTACAAAAGCAGTATTGTTCTATTAACATTTTTGTGGTTGAAAAAAAAGGCCAAGTAAATAAAGAAGCTAACATACACTATCTTCTTTTGTATGTTGAAGAGTTTAAATTTCAATTCAAACCAAAAAAAAGCTGATACATGAATGAATTAGAAAAGGCGGAACCGTAATAAAAATAAAGTTAAGTAAAGATAAGTAAAGTCCTTCTTACTATGGTATTCGAGGAAAAGTGGGCCAAGTTTTAACCAAATACACGAGAAGACGTGCCTTTAGCTCACCGATTGGTTCGTAGTTTAAAATAGGCGGACGGGCGATCAGTATCTCTCGTTGAATGCCACCTATCCTTTGACCATGGGCTAACGCGTTGGTAAAAAGCCCCACGAGAAGGTATTATAACAGTAAAATCGTACCTTTAATAAGTCTCAAAGAGAATTCGACTCGGTACAGTTCGTTTAGTTCATTCTTGTGATATGATGTGTGCGGTAACATCTTCGACGCGTGGTTCTCCAAACATTTCGTTTATTATTATGTATAATGATAGAGAAGTAGGTGTACTGATCTGACCCTATTGAAACATTTCTACCTGTTACTCTCATCATTTGAGGACTTGTCTTTTAATACTGTAACTATCTCTACTTTACAGGTTACAGCCGATGGTTATCTCAATAGGACTATACTGACAGTTTATTGTGTGTAAAATGGTGTAGAATCTTGTACCAATTCCTATTTACAACAAAACATTTCCAGGTTTTAGAAAAACTTGAAATTTTACAATGGCAGAGTCAGCATTACGTAGAATTGTGACAAATGGCAGATCAGTGTGCAAAAACAGTGTAAGATGTTTATTTACGAACGCTACAACGACTGCCACTGCGACTGCAGAAACCGAGGCATTGTCCGATGTAAAAAGTTTCGAGGACTTACCTGGCCCTAATGGTGTGCCTATATTTGGAACTGGATTGAAATATTTAGTGAATCAAGGACAAATGCATGAAGTACAGGTAAGAGAAAATTCGTGTTTTTTTTTAATTAAATTTTCACATACTTACATATGGTAGATATGAGAAACATGTGTAGAGGATATAATGTCAATAAGGTATAGCCTCTATAACAGGTGTAGATTTCTTCTGTTTAAATATTCCAACTCTTATAGATTCTTTTCAAATACTTTAACACTAATAGATTCCCATTTAATAAATTTATTCTGATCTCGTATAGATATGGATTTCTTTATTAGCATATAACTTTTCTTAATGCTTCGTTTTCTCCTTAATATTCTTCTTTATGGTTCTCTTTCCATCTCAGTTTTTCTTATAGCGAAATGCTTTTGAAACGATATTCCATTTCATTCTTCATTTCTAGGTTTTGCACTATCCATCCTATACTTTTTATTTTATATCATTGCTCCTCCAAATACAGAATTCGTATCTTTATCTTTGTATAGCAAAACTCTTCAATTATGCTAAAATACTTTAAACTGCTATTTTTGCGAGCTAAAATACTTGATATTGCTAATATTGCTCGAATTTTAAGGACGTAAAACAGATACCTTCTCTGGCTAAAATACTTTTCATTGCTACTTTAAAAAAATAATAATACATAGTTAAAGTATTTTACATTTCAAAAACTTATAGATGTTCAATATTTTCGTATCTTTATATTGCAAGTCAGCTAAAAGGAAATATTCTCGGAACATAGACCCTATGCACCAGGTTGACCGTTTATATTTGAATAAAGTGCTGGCTATGTACCTATAACAATAGTTTTACCAATGAAGTATACAAACCGAATGCCCTTTATGAATAGAAGGAATAATAGCAAAAATATCAATACCTTTGATATAAGTATAATAATATATCGTACTGAACCGTTTACATTCATCTTATTACTCAATGAAACGTATATAGATATACGATCAATATAACTACACTTGAACAATGTTTTAATACCAGTATTCTATAAGAGAGAGAAAATCGACAACGAAAATAAAATGTTATCGTATAAAAACTACTCTTTACATCCTCTATTGACCTCAACTAAACTAAACATGTATACATTGTACAGATAGAAATAGTCGATGGCTTTTCAGAAGAAAACGTGCTCTAATAAAAGATAAAATCATTTGAATGCATGTAACCTATCTTGAGTTGGAACAAATACTTTATCAAATTGATGAATAATTGGGATAATATGTAAATGAGTTATTGAATAATATTCTAAGAATAAAAAGGTAAATATTTGACTGTTCCCCATCGCCCCTGGCTAGTGACATAAAGGGCCGTGGTTGTAACCCTCAACATGAAATTCCTTCCAAAGAACACAATATTTACTTATAGATAGCTAACTTTAAACACGAGAAAGAGAAAAGTAATTTTGATTAGATTTGAGGCTATTTTAAGAGATGAAACATGTCTTATAATGGCAATATCCAGTAAGAAACAAAAGGATATATATGTAATAAAAATCTTGTAAAAATCTGATATATGTATTGTTAGTGATGAAAGACATTCTTATCTCTTACATATTCCCCTTACACTCGACTGATAACTTTCATTTGACATGAACAATAGTTTTTACATAGCTATGATACTAGCCTACTTCATCTACCCCGTGGCAAATACAGTCGACAGACAGCCTTTACCAGATCTATTTTATATAAAACTCGCATGATGTAAAAAGAGCACAATGTGTAAAGAACATGTTAGTGGTAGATAAGTTGAACAGGTGAATTCAAACTGCCAAAACGTCAGTTCCACTGTCAGAAGAAGAATTTCCCCGGCTTCACTTTTACCTCAATTCTAGACAAGACCAAGTGTTTTTATTAATGAATGTCAGCAGGAGAAAATAATGTCAATTCCAAATAAAGATATAGAGAAGAGGGGCCAGATGTGAAATTCAACAAACCAAACAAAACTTTCAACTCGCAGCCAAAAAATGTTAGTCTTGTACTTCAGCTGTGGCTTCCGATACATGGAAACCTGATGGAAGTTTGGAGGTAATTCAATAAATAGTTGAAACTGTACAATACTCAGATATGTATGTACTGCAGTAAAGTATGTAGATGTTATGGTAAAGATAAGAAAAATAAGTAACAGTACTCTTCCTTACAAATATCTGGCATCAACCTTACCTCACTTAACCTCCTACTCTTATCTTATTTCTACACATATTTGTGGTTTTTAATTACACAACTAGTAGATATAGGTTAATAAGATAATAACTTTATATTTACTTATCTTACTAGTCAAATCGGCCATAGTTACTTAATTAATCACATACATTTCATAACATAAAAAACCTGTTAAGAAAAACGTATTATACAGGATTTGATTTGTGGTTGATTATAAATCATTAACTGTGAAGGACAAAAGGTTTCCAGATAAGAGCTTCTGTTTGTGCCTTCCTTTAAAATTTTGATTCATAAAATAGAATGGAAAAAGAATTCGGAAGCATTAGAGAAGAGATGAATCTATATTCTTCCAACCACTTGATGGAGGAATAAAACAATAGCAATGTAAAACGTAAATTTAGATTTAGAAAAAGACCGGCTTGAGAATTTAGGCGTGTTTATCATTTACAGAGAGTCAAGATTCATTTCTACAATATATTATAGATCCACAATGGATCTGAATAAATCATATAACATCTATTGTTGCTATCATAATATCATTTCATTGTTCATCCTGCAATCATCTGTAGAAAAATACTATAGTTTTTGTCAAAGTGGTGGAGTTCAGTATGCTATGATGTCGACGACAGATGTTTTGATGATAAGAAGGAATAAAGAGACCACGGGAGGAAACTAATCATACTTTCTATTATCAAATACTTCACCATCTGCTTCATACAGTATCTTCTTATCTTCTAATGTTGACAAATGATTTCAAATCGAGAAAAATTTCCTAAGGATTCTAATTCCTGTAATTATCTTGAAGTACACCCCACAGATTTAGCGTATTATTAATTCTCTTTCTTAGTTCTATATTCCTAGTTTCAATAAAAAATATTATGAGGGATTAAAGCACACTCTGTGTAAATAACATTGTTTGATATTATTGAATGATGAGTATATGTCTTTTTTATCTATTGATCACGTTCCATCAATGTTTGATATCACGATGCACCAATGTTCGATATATTGATGCACTAATGTTCAATCTCTTGATGGTCACCAAGGTTCAATGTTCATCATTGATGTGCACACAATTTCGATCTCTTGATGCACCATTGGTCGATCTTCTGATGATAATCAATGACAAATCTCTTGATGATTACCAAAGTTCAAGCTGCTGATGCTCAACATCCTTTCTCCTAATCTCCTAATAATCACCACAGTTCAATCTCTCGATGTTCACCATTGCTCGTGCTCAATTTTTCGATAACCAATTTTCGATCAATCGAGCACCATTCTTCGATCTCTACACCTTTGTTTGATCTCCCCTGATCAGCAGTGATCACAATCAGTTCTACTTAATCATTAAATCATCAAATAATGTTGGTCAAATTTAAAACATTTTTTATATAGTGTATAAATCGCAAAATACTTTGAAACCTTGACCTAGTCCGTCTCTCTTCTTTTTTTTTAAATGTAAGAAAATGTGAGCCAGCAAAACTGTTGTAGATTTAGGAATTAATGTTAACAATATCATTCAAAGTTCTACATTCATTGGGTAATCCTCAGAATAAAAACTGGCTTTTTTCAAAGTTGCCGTTATACGTTTTTGTTCCTTTAGTTTAAATATACAAGCACTAGCGTGTACCAGCTAAGATGATGAAGGTCAACAAGGCCATCCTTACGCCTCAAGTAGAAAAGTTTTTTTTATGGTTGTCTATACGCTTCTCCTTTCTCATTTATCCTCAAGACAAATATGGCCAGTGAACACAAAACACGATTTTACGCGACCGCTCATCACTAGCTTGTTGACTCAATCTCTACAGTTTTTACAGATCAATTTGGCATTTGTCAACTAAATTCCATACCTAGTTGATCTAGGAAATTAAATAAAAGCATTTTTTTATTAACACATACTAGCCTTTTTGACTTGATAAAGATGTGATAATTAAACACAGTATAGAAGGGTTAGCCAGGATGTTAAAAGGGAAAAGAATTTTCTCACAATTGCACATCAACTCAAACCATAAAATAAATAAAAAGATGGTTGAGGTCACGTGTGACTAATTAATTTATTGTTAAAAGATAAATAAATACTTGTTTTAGCTTATAACAGCTAACTGAGGCTAAGGAGTTGATATAAGCTTAGTTAATAAGAGTTTAAACCAGTTTTGCTACCTAACCACTACCTTTCTGTAGCTATCTGGATGATTGTATTGAACACTGTAATGACTTGTATAATATAAAGGTATCCCCTATCTAGTCTTTGTGTTACCTTTACAATTTAATCTGACATAAGTCGCCTCAAATACTACTTTCATAGATATAATCCATGAGGTATTTAGTTTCAAGCGACCCCTTTTCTTTTATTCGTGCGGTGTCAACTATATACCACTTGTGCACGTTATTATAGCTCCATCGTCAATTTGGAAAAGCCAAAAAGAGAAACTTTCTTTCATTGCGCATTATGATGTAAAACTGCATGCCACATAATCTCTAATGATTGGTTATGTTTTGTATTTGATAAGTTTTGTATATTCGAACAAATTTCCTTCTAAACAATTCTATGTCGTCATGAATCAGAGATTTGACCGATTATAATTTATGAGTAGAGATTTGTATAAGTTTATATATCTACTGTTTACTATATACTATTGTTGACATTATTATTAACTCTATTGACATTCAAAATATCAATGTATTTCTCTTTATATTGGCAACAAATTGCGCATAAACCGGGCCTCTTTTAAAGTTGGTTATCGATAGGCAATCAGCTGTAACAACAATCTTCGGCTCCCCAAAGACTCTGCCTATTATTTCATATTATCTGCCGTACATGCAGTTTTATTGGAAAATTACTTTATATAAGGTAGTACAGAAGATTGCCCCGATACTACCCCTTTATACTGTATTTTTTGCATATTTACAATGAAATCGTTGTATCAAGGTTTTTCTTTCATCTTCTTTACAAGAATTCTCTTTAACGGTTGTAGACATAATAAAATGCAGCTGATGATGGTAGTGGTTTTATGCTCCACCTACAAGAAATACCTCAAATCCAACATGTTATACTAGCTGTTCACCTTGTCAGCTTGCTTCTTCTACCATAGGAAAATATCTTTACAAGGTATTTTCCTCAAATGGCGTAAAATGAACGCCTGTTCACCTTGTCAGCTTGCTCCTTCTACCATAGGAACATATCTTTACAAGGTATTTTCCTCAAATGAACGCGCGCATTTTTTTTGTTATCAAAGAATAGTTTGTTGTAGTCGAAAATGCTTTTTGCATTATATGTTTATAATCCACTTTTGTCTTTTACAGAGAGGGTTTCACAAAAAATATGGTAAAATATTTAAAGAACGGCTGGGACCTGTCACCAATCTATCAATATCAGATCCAGCTTTGGTTGAAGAAATCTTACGAACTGAGGGCAAATATCCATTCAGACCACCTTACCAATCGTGGGTGCTTTATAATGAATTATACAATAGAAAAGGCGGAACAATGACAGCGTGAGTATTATATATATATAGAAAATAAGACTCGTGTTAAAGTTTTGCTTTGGTGACCTGGTTTTGTATAGGTTTCTGTACCTCCAATCACAGACACATAACGACATGTCCAAAATGTCCAAAAAAGCCATTGTAATAGTTTACCAGTTTTCATGTTTTATTTTGGTTTGAAATGTTGTAAATATGATTTATTATGACTAAAATGTAACATAAATATGGTATATAATGAGTTATTATAATGTACCTTAATTTTTGACAAGATATGACGCACCAGTACATCACCGGTCATTAATATAACTATTGTATAGACTAGAGATACACGTGGATATAGCACCTAGTATATGCATATCAGTCAAAATACATTCAAAATCTAACAATACAAAATACAGCACATTTCTATCTTATTTTGCAGTGATGGTGAACATTGGAAAAAATGTCGAAGTGTCATGAATCCAAAATTTTTACGACCCAAAGCTGTTGGAGAATTTGTCGAAGGCATAAATGGTGTAGTAGCATCATTTGTGGATCGTCTCAGGTTATTGAAAGATGCGACAGGAGATGGTGAACCTATACCTCATTTACCTAACGAACTGAGCAAATTTACTATGGAGGGTAGGTGGACACTATGTCAACTCTGACACGTGGTCAGGCACTTGCCGACATTTAACTTCAAAACCAATAGCTTAAAGAATATCCTCTGAATTATAAAACTATACGACGCATTTGAAAACCAGTAAACTGCTATTAGTTTCTGAAGAATGCAGTATAATTCTATTTTGAACAGGAAATGTATTTTGAAATATTTCCCGAGTAAAGGCTAATGAAGAAACTGTTAAAGAAATGTTTTGTATGTGTTAAAAATGTTGGTCAATATTAACTTTACAGATATAGGTCAATCTTCCTCTAAACGTCACTTTAAAACACCTTTTTATAATGTATATTCTAACATGGTTTCCTTTACTTACCTTTGTATAATATTTTCAATTTCAGCTCTTGGTTGGGTACTATTGGACAAAAGATTGGGGTGTTTAGAAGAACACGTCGAAGAAAAAGTCCAAAATTTTATCTCCTCAATAGCTACCATGTTTTTAACTGGACATCAGTTGATGATTTTCGCTAATGTACATCAAAAATTGAACACGAAACCATGGAGAAACCACGTGAGATCATGGAACACAATTTATGAAATAGGTATGAACAATGAACAATAAAGTATTTTACACTCCGCATCAATATGAACGAAGTGTTTTGTTACTTTGAGGTTTGTCGACGTATCATTGGATTTAACTGATAGTCTCTATGGTATGTCGACATTAACAAATTATTGAATTACATTACATTAAAAGTCTCGTCAGTGTATATTGATCGTATCTATTGTTTATGGATGGTTACAAGGTATTTGACGTTAACAAAATATTACATTATACACAATCTTAAGTATTTCTTTAATTAATATTGATAGTCTATCGACTTGAGCAGAGTTTTTGGTGTTAACGAGTTATATTTATCAACAAAATATTAACCTGAATTGTTTATCGACGTGAACAAAGTATTTCATTTTGTCAAATCTCTCTATTGTTCATGAACAAAATGTTTCATTATACTGACAATTAACTTAAGCTTTCGCATTTTTTGAAAGATTTTTTTTTTAAATTTCAGCACAGGACTATATTGATGAAAGAATGAAAGATGTCGCTGAAAGATTAAGCGGTGACATAAAAGAAGGAGAAAGGGTAGATTTTTTAACGTATTTAGTTGGGAGTGGTAAATTAAGCCGCGAAGAAATCTATGTGAATATTACAGAGGTGTTATTAGGTGGAGTGGATACGGTATGTAATAATATCCCCTTCATTCTCTAACTTTATGAATTAACTTTCACACACACAATTCTCTTTACGAAAAAATAATTTGTAGAGAAAAACTTTCAGCACCAGAGATTTTGAACACACACAACATTCATCGAGCTTAACAGAATACCCTTACTGTCAAATAACACTAATATAGTTGTAAAAATGAAAATGTGTTTTAAAGATTATATTCAAGTCGTCAATAATACAGCGTGTATGTATCTTATGCTTGGTTTCGCTAAATAAAGCACGAATAAACAAACATTGTGGTATAAAGTGGCGGGGTTTTAGAACTAGTCAAGTAGAAAATGATATATTCTCTACTTAAAACATATTTGAAACGTTCACACTAATTTATGACCTTCCCTCATACTATCGAAATATTTGAAATAACCTTTGACTGTTAAGACGTAATTGTACATATTATTACCTTCAATAAAAACCAATATTGACAGTTTTTTCTCATTTTATATCCTTCTTCATCTCAAAATTGCCAAATATTACCCTGAAGCAAGATTCCAACTAAAAGATCTATAAATACATGATTTATATTCCATCATTTGAAAAAGACTCTTTTATGGATGTCTTAAGATTTGGTACGCCTTGACCCCAGTTAAAAGAGTTCACTTGAAATATTTGTGTTTGTTTTTGATAAACATGTCACTTTAACTCCAGTACACACAACGTTCACCAAATTCCCCCCTTTTAGTTGGATATCAACATCGCTATATATGTCTAACAAAATATACACAAACCTACTTTAACAGGTCATAAAAAGTGAGTTGATTGACAAAGTGCATTTGTATCTCAATCTTTTTCATGAGAAAAATGCAATCAAATGTGACATAATTTAGCCCTAAATTTGAGAATGTCACATATAAGATATGTGGTTTCTTCACAAGTTATTTGATTGGGTGGAAAGTTGAGTGATGATGGTACACTTCACAAGTAACTGATGTTTAACTCTTGACAATTTATCTCAAGGTCTTCTGGATAAATTTGTCACATTATTTATGTTGTACTGTTTAATTGTTCTTAACCTGCCATTCAGTATATTTTAATATAATTACAGGCAGCCAACTCCTTCTCATTTTTACTGTATTCATTGGCTAAACATACTGAGTCTCAAGATATATTACTGGAAGAGGTCGACCGAGTGTTAGGCGGTAAAGTGTGTTCTTATGAAGACCTTCAACGTATGCCATATTTAAAGGCCGTCGTTAAAGAAACTCTACGGTAATTATAAAGTCATATAAGGAGAGTCTCAGGCCGAAACAAGCTTGAAAGTAGGCCTATCCGTTGCAGTCGGAAACCCAAACTGAATGTAAAACAGCTGAAACTGATGTCAAATATGATTTTTCAGTCGTCAGAGCACCCAGGTTGACAAAAACCAACCAGATTTCCTCTGATGCTGCCAATTTCAAGAACGTCCAATTGGTCTGGCATACCACCAGTTAAAAAGTCTACACGTTACCTCGTTTAGAGTTGAAAATCAAGGAATTGATTTGTATAGATATGAAAGATGTCATGTATTTATTGTAGACTTTATCCACCGATTCCTATTAATGCCAGAGTAATGCAAGAAGATACCGTCATTGATAATACTCTAATACCCAAAGGAGTAAGTTTACCTTAATATTTCAATATTTAATGTTCAATATAACAACACATGTTATAGTCCATATCATTACCCTACATATTATGTAAATAAGAGTAAAAAAAATCAATTTTTTAAAACCAAGTTGACGTTTCTTTTTTATAGAACGTAATTTTGGACAAGATTTGATACCGTTATAGACTATAATTATGTATATTTGTATAGAATCTTGTCTGTTAGTTCTTTTGTTCGCGTAGGGTATTGAAATGTACAGACTTCAGAGCTCTTGGCATGGTCCAAGTACCGCATATATATTATCAGTTTTCAGAATATACCAGGGACTTATTCCACCCCTTTTTACTTGTAGACTATTGTGTTACTCAACAAATACACAATGGCACGAGATGAGAAGATATTTACCAATCCAGACAAGTTCATACCAGAACGGTGGTTACGAGCTGAAGCTAAAGATTGGCACCCATTTTCTAGCATACCATTTGGCTATGGAGCTAGGAGTTGTGTTGGTAAGTTCTTTCTTATTCTTTTCTGACATGGTCTTTACGTGTTACGTTGCTTCTTTTATTGGAAACCTTATGTGGATTGTCCGCAATAGCTTAGTCTATGAAAATAGAAGATGGGGAGTATATATTCTACAATAAAAGTGGCCCTTTATGACTTAATAGCTATTATTAGTCTTCATGATATACCTTTATGTTTTCAGGTCGTAGAATTGCCGAAACAGAAATCTATTTAGCAACAGTAGGAGTAAGTATATAATTATATTGTTTATTGTATACGTAACTCATAATAATAAGTTTTTTTGGGATGTAGCTGTTGCATTAGATGTAGATTGAGAATTTTAAAGTGATCATCTGGTCACAATAAAAAGTAATCGTTTGATAGGCACGAAATGCTTTCTCCCACAACAATACTTTACAATATTTTCCTTTTTATTTTCAGATTTGTCAGAAGTTCCGAATGTCTGTTAGTGATAAATTTGATATTAAACCATCAGTTCGAACACAGTTAACACCAGGACCAGAGTTACCCATTTTGTTTACTGAACGATAGGACTGGGATAGATAGCGTCAGGCGGTGGTCATCTCTTCATCCTCCACAGGTCGTTCTCCTTCCCAACCAACTAGTGTGACAGTTACCTGGGACAGTATACTATATTCGACCTACACGAGCGTTTCGTGGTTATTGCATGATATATTCAGCTAGAACAACACCCCATCAACATGTTTACCACTAGAAATAAACGAGGGAAGACAATCTCAGGGTGGCAAACTTATAACTCAATTTATTTCTTGAAGTCACATCACTTCATTTATTTATAAGTGTTATAGTTAATCTTGTAACTTTGATAGCTTCAGTGTTAAGAAAGGAAGCATGTTGCAATATTCAGACTGTTTAGCTAGATTACCAGCTAATTAATCCATAAGCAATAATATGAATGTGATTATAATTTTTATTTGACTATCTGCTGTAATAGAGCAGCTGTGTTGTTATAAAGACTTCTTGTGAAGAAGCTACTAGCCAAAGACATGAAAAGTCTAGATTGACGATATAAAAACGGGTATAATATATGTTTAATATAGTGCCATGTACAAAGTTTATTGAGGTATTTAAGAAGAATTCTTCAAATGAGACTTTCAGAGACATAATGTTCTGTTTTTAGCATACTACTGTGACATTTTTACACTGTACATGATTGAACACGCCGTCTACCTCCATTATAATGTATGTGTATAATATCTAGATATCAACAACTAGTGGATAAAAACCGAGAAATCTCAACTTGCTTACATTGGTTCAACTTAATTCATAATAAAAACAACTGTGAACATGTTACAAAGAACACTGTACAGTGGAATGAGATTTACCCATGCATTTTAAATTGGACAGTCTAGTTTGACCTCTCTGACTATAGGAAATATGTATATATACAATGAAATGCTCACAGAGGTTGAAAATTTAACGTGTCTAAATACGCTGTCAGTATTACACTTTGTTTTTTATCTGCAATTCTTATGTGTATACCTCTACCTTCTCGTGTAAATATCATGGTATTTTATTCACTATTTAATTATACAAACTTACAAAAAATAAATTACAATGCTCAGCCTTCAAGTGTCACTTCTCAGTTTACTAGATAGAAATGACAGATAGCTAGTTTTTACAATGTATCTATATAGTCATGGATTTAGTCTATTTTACACAGGTAATGATAGATAGAGTTCATACCATATAATAATTGTTGAATTAGCATTATCTTTCATTTCTATTACAGTTATAGTATTTGACCCAAACTATAATCTCAGCTTCAGATAAAATCAGCATATTTATCATGTTATGAATTGAAACTGATAACTAAAAACCAGCCACTTGACGTCTCATTTTAAAAAGATAGCTTGCCAGGCAAGGTAACATACGCCCACTGGCAGCTGTCAGAAATGATTAAACAGTCTTTAGTGACTACAGGGTTGCACAATATAGCTAATAGAGTGAAACGTCAAGTCAGACACGATATTTCGGTGAAATATTATCCGATCATCGCGAAAATTGATAGGGATCATCTTCATAATGACATTGACATACAAAATAAAAATCAAAAGAATCTGTAAAGCACGAGTTGCACACTATAGCTAATAGAGTAAAACGTCAGGTCAGACACGATATTTCGGTGAAAAATTATCCGATCATAATGAAAATCGATAGATCATCATGAAAATCAATAGGGATCATCTTCATAACGACATAGACATACAAAATAAAAATCAAAAGAATCTGTAAAGAATTGTAGCCTGTAGAGTGAGCACGAGTTGCACAATATAGCTAATAGACTAAAACGTCAGGTCAGACACGATATTTCGGTGAAAAATTATCCGATCATCATGAAAATCGATAGATCATCATGAAAATCAATAGGGATCATCTTCATAACGACATTGACACATAAAATAAAAATCAAAAGAATCTGTAAAAAATTGTAGCCTGTAGAGTGAGCACGAGTTGCACAATATAGCTAATAGACTAAAACGTCAAGTCAGACACGATATTTCGGTGAAAAATTATCCGATCATCACGAAAATCAATAGGGATCATCTTCATAACGACATTGACACACAAAATAAAAATCAAAAGAATCTGTTAAAAAATTGTAGCCTGTAGAGTGAGCACGAGTTGCACAATACAGCTAATAGAGAAAAACGTCCCCCCTGGTTTCTCCTTCGAGTTCGATCATTAACACAAATATGTGTTTCAATCTTTATTATCGCTAAGGGCAATAATGTGATATGCTCTCTCCTAGCTCAAAAATGCAGCGGAACACCTGTTTTACCTATCCCTACAACCTACTGTACTGTATTGTACTGTGCAAGACTATGTCCTGAAGAATTTGGATATGCATTAGTTTCACTATCTCAAAGAACATAGTTAGACATATTTTTGACATGTATCTTGACTTGTATTTGACATGTATCTTAAGAAACCTAGATAGATATATTATATTTAACATGTATCCCAAAGAACATGGGCAAATATACCCGTTGTACCTTTATCGAAGAACATTTGCAGATATTTTATTATTGCAAAGAACAAAAGAAGATTTATCGTGTCTTCTAATTCAAAGAAGAAAAATCTATCTCAGTGAAAACAGATTTAAACGCACATGATTATCACTTTTACACATTGCAAATAGACATAATAAGGCATCTTGCGTTTACTAGCTTGAATATATAAAAGATCTAGCCCCTTTAATCGTTTATATAAGGGACTCAAATTAATGTAAGTCATTCTTATAGAGGGTATATTGTACGGGGTTATTCAGTATGAATACTGAATACAGGTCAAAGACTTAATACACTACAATGATTACAAACGATCATAATAAAATGACGGTTTAAGCCAACAAAACCGTGCTTTATGATGGGATTACTGTGTAAGGGTAAACATAACCTTTACCAACTTATAGACCTGTTTTAACCACCATATAGCATAAGAAATATTGGTGAAATCTAGGTATAGCTTTTAGCTACAAGATCTTTTAGAAGCAAAAGCCCAGTTACACTTGGATTACATGTGACTCTATACTGCTTTCAAATACAATCAAAAACTATTCTAAAAGGAAAAGAATCCAAGCCAAAATATTGAAATTGAACTAATTTTGTAGGCTTCAGTTAGATGATGATAGCATAACTAAAGACAAACCAAAATATTTGAACATAGTTAACTATTAAATTTCCATAGCATTCCATTCTGCCCCAAGAGCCTTATAACCATGTTTGTGGACTTCGATAGCTTATTCTATTCTCCTCGTATGCAAATATGAACACCTATACTTTAATTCCACTGAACGAATCACATCATTATGAGAGCTCATTATTCTAGTTTCATTATGGAAGCTCCTCTCAAAGACGATTTTCAAATACATTAGGTAATCTTATCTTATAGGAACCTTAAAGGCATCGTGTTAGAGGAATACCTAAGCCGTGCCAGATGCCTATCTGGGTCAATTTTATTTTAGAAATGCTCAGTAATCGATATATGGAAATGATATTGAAATAACAAACCTTTGCTTTCATTGGCGTTATCTTCTACATTCGGCCAAATGGTGCTGATTGAAATTATGTTATTGTTTCAGTTCTTAACTGACAACACCATGTGGAGTTTTAAAGGAAGTGATTAAAGTAATAAAATAGCTTGGATTTCAAATGTTATCGCATATCATATACCATTAGCAAAGGTAACTTGCTAAAAAGGTAACACATGGCAATCAGAAATTCAATAAATTACCATCAATAAAATACATATTGTTTTTCAAAGCAAATTTAGTATCAAAGCGAAGAACTATTTAGTATTTAGTAATTTTCCAAGCAAAATTCCCTCATTTCTTTGCAATTTCATGGCAATTTCATATCTCTTGCACATCCGCTATTGTATACTGTATTAAACTGGCGACTTTGGTTGTAATTTCTCAATAATTCCCGACGCTTTAAAACTATATATCAACACACCAGAACTTGTTATTGTGCTATTGTGTCTGAATTGCATTTTGGCAATAACTTGCATGTAAATTGAAATATCAACCCAAAAGTAGTGATGCTAATCTTAAATGGTATTTGGGCTCCTTGATGTAAACCTATGAATAGATTATTATTGGAAACTTTTGTTTTTGAAGACATTTCTGACAAGGAAGTGTGTGTATATTTCGGTGCTTCCTAAGACATGTTTTGAAAATTTCAATTCGAGGTTTTGAAAACGATACAACAATTCAAACACGTGACAAGAAACCAGTGGCTGAAAATAGGCCATCGCCTTACTTTTAACTTCACGCATGTGTTGCTCTGGAAATTATGATAATGATTTATTATCCAATTTTATTTATCAATTCTTCATAATTCGGATTACTTGTGTTTCAAGAACCATTACTCCTTTCCAAAACTTGCACTAACTCTTTGGTATACAAATTAACATATAAAGACCAACAGTACTTAAATTTAAATAAAACAGTACTGCATACCACCAATTCTTAAGGATACAAATGACTGATTCATTCATATGCCACCAAATGTACAGGATACAGAACAGCAGTTATATCAAGGATCCTTATATAACAAGGATAAAGAACACCAGTTCCTCAAGATTCAAATCAGTAGTTCTACAGGATAAGGAACATTAGTTCTTCAAAGCTCCAGATTAGCAGTTCTACAGGCTAAGGAGCAACAGTTCTTCAAGGTTCAGATCAGTCAGCAGTTCTACAGGATAATCTAGCAACAATTCTTCAAGCTCCGGATCAGCAGTTTTACGGGATAAGAAACACTAGTTCTTCAAGCTTCAAATCAATAGTTCTACAGGTTAAGGAACAACAGTTCTTTAAGCTTCATACCAATAGTTCTACAGGATAAGGAACACCAGTTCTTCAAGCTTCAAATCAATAGTTCTACAGGATAAGGAACATTAGTTCTTCAAAGTTTCAGATTAGCAGTTCTACAGGATAAGGAGCAACAGCTCTTCAAGGTTCAAATCAATAGTTCTACAGGATAAGGAGCAACAGTTCTTCAAGCTTC